CTTCCTTGCTTCTCTGTATTTCCACATATTTGGTACAGGATGGGTCTAAAGGCCAGATATCACTGGCTTGTTAGATGTCACATGTTCTTTTGTAACAGAAGTAAAGCCAAAGCTACAAAGACCATCTGATACCTTTTTGTTGATATGCAAAACCACATCCTCTATGGTACGGTGCTTCTGGATCAGGGTCAGAGCTCTCTTGGGACCCAAACCGGGTATCTTTTCACAGTAGTCGCAGCCGAGCAAAATACACAAGTCCACAAACTGGCAGACAAATGCAAAATAAGAGAATAAGACAGCTAAAGTGCATTTCTATAGCAGTATGTCCAATACAGATATATTACAATAAATTGCATACTTCCAGAGAAATCTAAATGTTTCTATCTTACCTCCTTATGACCAATTTGGAGTTTTTCTAATAGTTTAGGTAAGGAGTATTCAATGACTTCACTGTAAAAAAAAAGAGCGTAAATAAAACATTAAGTTCAACTAGATCAACTAGTTCACAACTAGATGTCAAAATCTAAAACCAAAACAAAGACGAGCAGAAATAATACATTAAGAATAAGTAACCAAACAAAAGACATGAAAATGAATGTTTCATATACAATGATAACGTCTCTTATATTCTTTTACCCCTATATTTTTAAACATTTTAGCGAAATACACAACTATTCCATACATGTGACATATATAGATTTTTAAAAAATAATAATATTTGCTTTTATCAAACATGCCATTTGTTCTCAGTTGATACTGTATCTCTCTGAGTACAGTTTAAAAGTAGATTATTTTGTGCTTTGTATGCTATCAGCAAAGTGCGTGATCAACGATATCAGAAAACCTTAAGACGTGTAGTAGTTCATCCATTTATAAAGCTTTCAGCTTTCTTGTGTAGCAAATTCAGTGGATTAATGTTTGTTATCTCCACCAAGGTCATGTTTTTGGTAGCATTTGCGTGCGCGATATTCTGTCTGTAACAGATAACTCGAAATGTTTTGAATGAATAAAACTTTGTAGGGGTGTAGAGTGGAGTCATTTCAACAATCCATTATCCACTGGCTACTCCTACATAATGTTTTAAGTATCGATACCAGCTGTTTTTAACCAGTCTTTTGCTGCAACAGTGCTAATTTTTCTAAAAGATTTTGCTAGCATAAAGTTTCAACATTATATATTTATCCATTTTGAAATTAATATCATACTTATAAGAATTTCAAATGTTTTCTTTCTGTTTTTATTTATATTTTACACCACATCTCAACTTGGCTTAGAAACTGAGTGTAAACTACCTGCTAATGAGCTGCAAGCAGCCTTTTTCTGTCTGACAGTCCACTGCTGTCTGCAAGAAAAAGTAAGGAGCAGATTTCCTTTTCTTTTCTTATGAGACTTGTGGCTGTGGTTTAAAATAGTTCACCACCTGCTGCCAGAAAGTACAGTCATTATGGAGATCCGTCTCATCGACTATAAATACAGAAAATCAGTGCAAGTGAGCAGGTTATTACAATAACTTGAGATTCTAATTATTTGACATAATAATTTACATAAAAACATGTATGAGAGCCTCATAAAGCTTTGGATCTGATCATGAACACTAAATTAATGCAACAACCATTGCAAACCTTTGAAATATTTCTTCTTTTTAAATATAAACTAATTTAGTAAAGTGAGCTGCACAGTTTCTACCTGTCCTTCTTTGCATTCAGCTGACGAATAAGAATATTGGCTCCAAACGGCAGCGTGTCCATGTCCTCTGACGCCACAGCGTGCACAGTTCCCTCTCTCACCAGCTGAGCGCACAGTGCCTCAGCGTCCCCTGGAGCCTGAGAGACAAAAGTGACATGCATGAAGAGAAATTTGCAGAGGAGGAAGAACAAACATATTCATTACGTAGCAGGTCGTACCTGGATAACAGGTACACCAAGATACTTCAGGAGTTGAAGACATTCTTTAGTCTGTGATGACGCTGCAGTGAGCACAGAGGAAAAACACATCAAAATAATGTTTCCAGTAGATTACCTCTGTTCTAAAACCACTGAAAACTCAAGTCTTTGTGCATTTTCTGCACAGACCTACCTGTGCCCGTCTGGTTTGAGTAATTCCTACCTGCCGTCTGGGCTCGCTTCTCAAGCTGCAGAAACAACAATTTTCAATCAGTCACAGTCGTCTGTATCTGTTATCTGGCAGTGATCAAATTTACCTACACGTTGAAAATATTTACTTTAGACTAGTCTCTCTGACCTAAAGTGTTCTTAAACATGCCAGGAAATGTTTAGTATCATGTTAAGTCAAAAACTATACATGCAGGTTGTGTCTTACAACAGCCTTCTTTTCCCCAGGAGGCTTTCCATCAAACACAAAGACCGGTTTTATGCCATGTTCCAGGAAAGTGAGTGTGCGAAAGAAGAGACCTGTGAGGGGGCTGGAGAAGAGAAATCAAGAGCATTTCACAAATATACACAGACAAAAAAGAATAGAAAGACTTTTTCCTGCACAGCTACCTCGAGGGTTTATAGAGAATGGTCTGAAAAAGAGAAAATATCCAAAAAGCAGTAGCTCTCTGGGTGAAAACGCCTTGTTTATGCCAGAGGTCAGAGAAGGATGGCCAGACTGCTTCAAGCCAATAGGAAAGCAAGATTAACTCAAATAATCATTTGTTAAAACCAAGGTATGCAGAAGAGCATATCTGAGCATATGACACGCTGAACCTTAAAGCAGATAGGCAGAAGACCACACAAGGTGCCGCTCCTGTCAGCAAGCCTGTGAGGAATGTTTCTAGCTCCTTCTTTAATCTATGCAACAAAGAATCAAGGTTTTTCTGAAGATAAACATGGGTTCAACCCAATACTGGCAAGGTGTACCTAACAATGTGACCAGTGAGTGTATTTTACTGGTGTCAGTGAGGTCTTGTTTACACTAATTGGCTGTATAGTTGTAGGATGTGGTGATTTTTGTAAGCCCTTTCTAATATTTTTAATCTCATGCACTGATAACACAGTGCAACCTTTAAAAGAACAAATTAAGTGAAATGAATGAAAGAAAAAAAATTAAAATCTTTAGAAATGTTATTGCAGGATTATTTTAATTCAAATGTCTACTATTCTACAAGTGTTTGTATTTTTCTAGGCACCCAGTGTACTAGGTTTGATAAGGAATTAATACACCATGATAAACAGTAAAGAGATAGAAAAAAATAACGTTTACTTCAGTTTAACAGGACAGAACAGCATCACAACATGCTTACCTCAGTGAAGGCGTTGCTGCACGGAACTGATTTACAACAATAAAGGTATCGAGTGCGATTACTTTTCCTGTGGAGTATAGTAATACAACAACAGCAGCGTGAATACACAACAGTTTAAATGTGCCCTTAGACATTAATTACTTTTCAGTAACATCCACTCAAATTACACTTGATTAAATTCACCTAAACGCACTTGAAATGATTTACACTATTAAGCCAAGTCAAATACTGTACTCCATTTACTTGTCAGGAATTTATGATGGAAAAAAATTTCCAGCAATAGCAGTATTGATAATAATAATAACAACAACAACATGCTAACATGCAGCGCTGATTTGTAGTGTATAAATTGCTGGTAGGATTACCTATGCCTATTCTTTTATGGCTTTTCTCAGCAGTAAACAGAGCTGGACTGTGGACTAGAGGTGGGAATCACCATACATCCCACGATACGATATTATCACAATACTTAACGCACGATACAATATTATTGCAATTTTTAAAAATATTTTGCGATATTCAGATTCTGTACATAAAGGTAAACTTTATTAATATTCATTTTCTCTAATATCAAAGTCTCACACTCAGTCTTTCTCTCATTTCAGTTTTATTGTTGACAAACTGAACGGTTTGCATTACAGTCTAGCCCAACTTAACTGAATGCAACCATCGGGTACAATTATAGCTATTCTGAACTATGCAGTTTATGAAAACTATGCAGCCCATTCAGCAACTGAAGAATTTGAAAGTAAATTAAAACAAAATATAATTTTTGATTAAATAAAAAAGTTTTAAACTTAATTAAAATAAAACATGTCTTAAATTAAAATAAGTAAACTGTCATGTTTATTGCTGCCAAAAAAAAGTTAAACACATTTGGACAGTGAAGGAATGTCAGGATTCTTGCTCAGAAAAAGGATCAACATGCTCTGAAGTCAGAGCACAAAAACCTTTTTTGTAACAAAATATCGATTTCTGCTGTCCCTGTATCGATACATTATTAGCAAACAAAATATCACGATACTACACAGTATCGATTTTTTCCCCCACCCCTACTGTGGACCACTTCATATACAGTTCAGCTAACATTTGATTCCTTGTGTTATGGTGCTCAAAGTGTGAGGCGAATAGTATTAATAACACAGTTATCACGCAATGCTGTGTGTGCGTGTTTTCGGCACTAATAAAGTTACATTGAATTAAGACAGATGTTTTGATTGGACTGTCGAGTTAGCTGATTAACATAAGAGAAATAGTGCGGACACGGGTAAGTTATTAATTACTACCTCGGAATGCCCGATTATTATAGCAGTAGCTTTTAATTCGTGGTACGTGGACTGGTAATACTTTACAAAAAACGTTTCTTTAATGTCAGGTGCTATAATTACAGCTAGCGATGCTAGTAGCTAGGGGGAGAGTGCTAACATTAGCGGCTAGCAGCTGCAGCTGACCTCCTTAACAGAGTCAGACCTGCTGCTGAAACCATCACCGATCGTGTCTGTACCTGTGTAGTCAGTGATATCCTTATACGATATGGCATCAGGAGCATCTGAGCGTATTAAATCAGCCAGTTTAGTGATCCCCATTGTGCCGTCACCACCGACAGTTTCCTCTTCGTGTTACTGTTCCAGGAAAAAAGGCGAAAAAGTGATTTAAAGTGAGTTAAGTCGAGTTTCCCAGATAATTAGAGCAGGATCCCTTGGATAGTAGATTGTCCATAAAGTTTTAATTGAAGACGTCTCTCAAGTTATGCCTTTCAAGTTAAAAACACATCATCTTCTTCTTCCTGGTGCTGCATGCCTGCCACCTAATGGAGAATGTCGGAGTCAGCGCTGAACACACACACGGCTGAAACTGACATCCATCTTTTATTACAGCAAACATATTTACAAACATCAAGTGTATTCTTATATTACAAAATAATTTAAAGTTTTAACTCCAACATCCAGCTTTAAGTGAGACATGTAGGTACAGACTTCAAAGAAAAACTAACAGCAACTCTTTGCTGACACCTCAGTACTATATGTGATAAATAAACCTGCTTTAAATACATATTTATATTATTATCAAAATAAAATGATGTTTTTTTAAAATAATTTCAACAAGATCGACCTCTTATCATTGGACGATCATACACACACGGGCTCTTTGTATCACACTAAATTATGTATCAAATGTCATATTCCATGCTTTAATATTGCAGGTGACTTAGTGGGAACAAAGATGAGATAACAGCATGGAAAAACAGCACTTCACAGTACCCTACCCTTGTTACTTTGGTTAGCAAATAATCAAGATGACACAACCCCTAGACAAAAACGTTAAAATAAATAACATTAAAGACAGATTAGACAGGCTTTTCAAATGCTGTAATGTACACAGAAGTTTTTCCAGTAACGAAGGGTCAGCGTTATGGCATCTTTAGAGTCAATCGGTTCAGTTTGACACTTCTGGAAGAATGGTAGTTTATGACCTGCTTTCAACAGAAAAGTCAGGTTCAGTCTTGCAACTATGGTTCCCAAAACATTTGTCACTTAA